CTACTATATTTGTTAATAAAAAGAAATCTGGAAAATGGAGAATGCTGACGTACCAGAGAATCATATATAAAGTAATTTAGCTGATGGGATCTCCACAGCAAAAAATGCCTTTGCCTTCACTGTTATCTAAAGAATGGCATATGACAATTATTGCCTTAGAAGACTGTTTCATTACTATACCTTTAGAGGAAAAAGACATAGAAAAATTTGCCTTCATGGTGCATATTTATCACAACTCTCAACCAGACAAGAGATATTAATGGAAGATCCTCCCAAAGGGAATGTTATAAAAAAAGTCCTACTTGTTACTTCTAAAACCAAACTCCTTTACCCACAGGAAGTAACCCTATAGGTATACAAAGAAATGAAATCTGGCAAATGGATTTTTTTCATTTTACAGAATTTGGAAAATTAGACTATGTACACAATACAACAGACACATTTTTATGATTTCATTCTGCAACTGCTTTGAGTTGTGAAAACACTTATTCTGTAATTACACATCTATTAAAAGTCATGGCCATCATGGGAACACCTGTACAAAATAAGACTGACAATGCTCCAGCATATATCTCTAGTAAAATGAAACAGTTTTTTTGCACATTATAATATAAAGCATATTTCAGGATACAGCACAATCCTACAAGACAAACGGTTGTTGAAAGATCTAATTACACTCTAAAAATGCTTAATAAACAGGTAGGAGGAACTAAGACCCCTAGAGATAGATTACATAAAACCTTATTAACCTTGGATTTTATTAATGCTATTGCGAAAGGAACAACAGTTGTGGCCAGATGTTGGTCAGTAGAAAATACTACTGCATTATACCAGCCAATGTACCTCAAAGATGTGTTAACCTCAGAATGGAAACCAGGATATGTGTTACGTTGGGGAAGAGATTTTGCTTTTGTTTCCACAGGAGAAGAAAAGCAAAGGATACCATCAAAATTAATTAAGATTTTATTTAAACAGGAGAAACCTCTTGAAAGGAGAAATGTTAGCTTATCCACCAATGTGACTATAATACAAGTTGTAAGAAAAACTCACACGGGGTCAGGGGAGGGTTCTATTTTTGTCTTTACAGGAAAATAGAGATGCCTACTTTAAAAAAAGAACATATGGCCTCACAACAACGAGCCCACCTGGTTCATAATGATGACATTGAGCTAAAAACACTATTCAAGGTTCGCCTTTGGATTACAAACTGCTCAATACAATTCCAAATTGGCTAGCTGAGATGGTCTACCTTCTTACCACAATCTATCCAGAACTACAGATAGGAACTTCAGAGAAGCCTTACCCCTGCTCAGAAACTGGCTACAAATGTTACAACTAGTCCTCTTGAAACGTAACCATTGTTTTAGTTTTTGCAAGATCCCATAGAGATACATTCACCCATTAGATGGCAGGAAGCAATTCTAAGAAAATGGCAACCCCTCTCCAGACATATTTGTTGCGCCAAGGTTAATGACAGTTGTCATCTGCTAGGGGTTGTTTATAAGTTATAATAAGATTGGTGTCATAACAATGAAGTTTGGACCCAGGAATCACATTTGGTGCAAAAAGGGGGAATAGATAGGATAGGAAAGTAAAGTAGATTAGTGTTATCTTCTTGTAAACTATTTTAGCAACTAATATTTTAGACAGTTTACATTGGTATAGATTTTTGTATATTGATACATATGTAAAATTAATTTTGTATTCCTGTCTAAGATAATTTATATATTAATAGAAGATATATTTATCATATTGGGTATGTTTCTATTTCTGTTTACAAAATTTTGTGCACAAATGTAAAGTTATTTTTGTTATACTGTATGTATATTTCTACTTCTGCTTAAGGATTTTGTATATTGATGTTAAATACTGATATTTTTGTCATATGGTACTATACATTTCTACCTCTAATTAAGATTTCTTATATATTGCTACAAGATTATGGTCATTGTCACGCTGCACATCTGTTTAAAATGGTTTATTTTTATAAAGTGAATCTTTAGTTTTTAAGCCATATAAGTTATTTAGAATTATATGTTAGTAATCACCCATGTTTGTCATACTGATAGTTATGTTAGGTAGGTTGTCTAGATGCAAGGAGATGTACTCCAAATATATAGGTAATCTTCAAACACTTCAAAGACATCAAAAGCATGGCATATAAATGTATTAATAATTTAGAGCTCTATTGCCATGAGACATGACTGCTCCTGGCAGCTATTCCTGAAAGAATGATGGGCACCATATGGAGCTTGTTTTCTTCTTGGCAAAAGTAGCCTACTGGGCAAAGAACTGCCCTTGCCTCAACTGATGACAGTAAGTATGCTGTATAAACTGGATATGAATGGCCCATAACAAAAGTGACTGTTGAAATTGCTAAGACAAGATGAGATAATCATTTGGAGTTCCTGCTTCACAGAGGAAACTACCAGACATTCTGCATGACACAGAAGAAAGCAACTGACAAACATTGCCAGTATAAGGCAGAACAAATCTTCAAATTCCCTGCTTCACTGAGAAGTCTGACATACACTCTAGGCCTATAGGCTGAATATGGATGCCCCAGCATTGCAGAAGAAATTTGCATGGGTGATCAGGACCAGATATCTCTGTCATTTCTAGAGTTTTGGAAATTACTTAAAATGTGCTTCCTGTTTATTTAGGTCTTATTTATTTGGGTCTTTGACAGAGTTGAAGACTAGACACTTATAATTATAGTTTCCCTTAGTTATGATAAAAGATAAATTAGATATTAGAATTAATCTTGCCAAATACAAATAGACTAAATATTGCTACTATAATCCTTGATTGATAACTGTTTTGTTTTATGTAATTCTACTATGTCAATTTTAAAACCTTCCTTCCTAATTAGACAAAAAGGGTGAGATGATATGGGATGTCCTTCTGTATACAGTGTATATGTGTTGCTTTTATTGGTTGATGAATAAAGCTGTTTTGGCAAATAACCAGGCAAAATATAGTTTGACAGGAAATTCAAACAGAGTGACAGGGAGAAAGAAGGTGGAGTTGGAGAGACACCATGTAGCTGCCAAAGGGTAAAATGGCAGAACATTACTGGCAAGCCAGGGCCACGTGGTGATGCACAGATTATTTGAAATGTGTTAATTTATAAGGGAGAATTAGCCAGTAATAAGGCTGAGCCATTGACCAAAACAGTTTTATTCAAGAACCAATAAAAGCAACACATATTCACAGCATACAGAAGGAAATCCCATATCATATAATATGGCTTCCATTTTAGGGTTTTTATGATATTCCTGATTGTACAAATTAATGAGTCTCTACATCTTACTCCTTCTCACAAGTGGGAGCTCTTGGTCTCCAGATTGATGGTTGTGTGGAAAGCATGGGACTGACCCAGACCCCTGAATGTGGGTGTCAGTGAGGAGGCCTAGGTAATCTATTGGGACTTGGGTAGTATTTATCCCTGGTGTACAAACAGATTTTGAGTGCCCATGCCACAATATGGGATGCTCACTCAGCTGGGACTACTCTTGCGGGAGGGCCTAGGCCCTGCCCTGGATGAAATGACAGTCACTGGAGATCTACCTTTCCTGGGGATCAGAATGGAGATTGGGTGGGAAACTGGGGGACCTAGTGGGGAGGGTGGAGGAAGAGGGGAGGCAGAAGGAGTTGGTATTGACATGTGAAACAACCTTGTTTCTAACTTAGATAAAAAAAATTAAAAAAATCTTACTCCTTCTTTTGGGCTCTTTTTCTTCTGTTTACAACTGACTTTATTTTTAACTAAGCAAATGCCTTTGATTTTATTAATATTAGATTTCATTGTGACAGGTTCAATTTTGTGATCTTTTGACTTTTTATTATGTCATTTTGTTTGTGAACTACAATGAACATTCAAGCAGTTAACAAATTTCAACAAAGTTTGGCCTGTGTCTTGTTGTACACTATGGTTTCAAAGGGATTCTCATACTCCTTTTTGTTTAGTTTAGATAGTGAAATAAGAATGGTATCATTTGAAACTGGAATTATCTTTTACCTGCAATTTACTTTTAAATTTTAGTTAGTCTGTAAAAACTTAATCACTGTATTGTGATCATTTTCAACCCCACTCTTCCCCAGATACACTCCCCACCTTCCCATCTCCTCTCAAGTTTGTGTCGTCTTTGTTTCTTTAAAAACTCACTAGGTCCAACTTATACTGGCTATGTACTCGTGTCTGTGGAGCCGTGCACTAGAATGTCATCAACCTAGGCAGGTCCAGTATGCTCACAGAATCTATGGTTGCCTGGACAAGTACATTGCCTCAACAATGCACATTTTTGAGAATAGAAATATTTTACTTCTCTATTGTTAAAATTTATGTTCTTTTCCAAAATTTTCTTACTATTTTTCTATCACTTGCCATGATTTTACTCTAGATCTTATCTAGTATGTCCTTCTTCCTGCTATACTTAGAAGATGAACCTACTCTTCTTTTGAGGTTAAAATAAAATTTTATAGCCTTCAGAATTCCTCATTTGAAATTCAAATTTCATCTTTGTTAGGATGAGTAAAATCCACAGTACATTTTACATCCCTTGCGAAAGATTCTAGTTAATTGTAGCTCTTTGGTTGTGTGTTTCTATATGCAATTAAATTATAGTTTCTTAAAATGACAGCTTAATAAGCACTGTAATATTTACCTTATACTTTTAAAATATATGGTAGATGCCAAGTAACCATTTTGATTTCAATTGAAAGTTTATAAAACAATCAGTGGAGACAGTGCTCTAAGGGATACTGAGTAATAATTAAAATACGTAGACTTCAAATTCTACTTTTTGTGTGACACTGGGTATGCATGTTATATTCGTTTATGTATCCTACTTGAATTATCTACAAATAAGAGTACTTCATATCAACTATTTTAATCCCATCAAACATTTCTATGAATTTCTAGGTGTATGGATGATCAGACTTTAATTTCTAAGATCTTATAATTAAAAATAAGATGTCTTGCTTTTTTTTGTATTCAGTGAACCAGCCTCATCCTAAGCGCTGTATTCCTGGATATCTCTTTCCAATGCAAATTGCCGTTGGGCCTTTTCCACATCCATCTTTTGATGCAACCGCTGGTAAGTTTTGAGACACACTGCTTTGTATTGATGTGTGCACTGAATGAGAACTTTCTTAGTACTAACTGAATCAATGTTATATGCTAGATTGTGAGTTAAGTTGGTTATCTTTTTATGAATTCCAGATACAAATTAGTTATTTGACCATTTATATCCATATGTGTTAATTGTTTCAAGTGAAAATGAAAATGGTACACACATTTAATTTCTTCTAGATATTCGATGTAAACCTCAGTGAAAGTGCTTGAGTTTTTTACTCAAGTGAATCAATATATTAGATGTTACTAGTCCAATTTTATAGATTATGAAACTGATGCTCAGATATTTTGGAAATAGTAGAACCCATAGTATTATGGATTTAAAAACTCTAAAATATTATCTATTTTCTATAATAATTGAAAATATAATGAACAAGAAATCTGAATGTTTCTGTGATAAATTATGTCTACAATACTTAAAAACAAAATTATGTTTCTATTCTGTTAGTTTGAAACACAGGTTGAACCATATGTTTACCAGAATATCACATATTTGAAGTTTTTTTACTCTTTGAATACTTCATTCAATTATACAATAAAATATAGTCATATCAACCCTGATTCTTTCTCTGTCTCTACTTAATCCTTCTTCTAAACATCAAGTCTCATATTTTTTAATAACTCACTAAAAATATCCAGTGAAGTCCTTATGAACATGAACATGGGGCCATCTAGTGAAACATGAGAAACTCACTAGTGCTCCCACCTTCAAAAAGGAATGATTCCCTCCCCCCAGCAGCTATCAACGCCAATAGGAGCTCTATGCAAGTTTGGGCCTGTAGAGTACCTTTCTTGTCTATGCTGGACTTTTGGGTGGTTTGGTCTTGTACAGTTCTTGTAGAGATAAACAGTTTGTGTGAGTTCCTGCGCAGAAAGACACTCCTCTGTGTCGTTCAGCTCCTACTTTCTCTCTGCCTCCTCTTTCTTGATGTTCTCAGATCCTTGGTGGTGAAGAAGTTAATAGAGATGTCCCAGCAGGGATGAAAACTAGGTCTATTACTCTCAAAACTTTCAACAGTTATACAACTCTCCACTGGTTGTAGATCAAAGAAAAAAAGAACATTCTTTGACCCAGGTTGAGAACAGTCTAGATCTATGAATACAAATATAAATATTTTAAAGGTTATTTGACAGCATGACCATTTAATAAAATCACAATAGCAGGTTCTATGCTAAGGCCTGTGATCTCCCTTACCAAAACCTGTTGATCAGTATTATAACATCATTCCTGTTGAGCAAGTTTTTAAACCAAATAAAAGTAGTTGGTTCCTGGCATAACTGTCATCACAATTGCACAAGTGAATACATCCTGCCTGGAAGGTCAGTGTTATAGCATGCACGTTCTAGCAATGGCTGAGACCATTAATTTCTTTTCCCCCAAGAACCCTACGTGTTCTTTTCCATTACTATGAATGTTAGCCAATAGGGAAGAGGTTTACCAATCAGATTTACAATGATATTTTTATATACTACAGCCAAAGTTTATGGTATATTTGGAAACAGGACTAAACCATCTAATTGTAGTATTTAAACAAGGACAATGTAACAGCTTGTGTTATTTTGGAAATTTGTGTGACCTCCCTGACCAATAGCATATTGGGAAGTTTCCCATGACTTGCACTGCTATTTTTATATAATAATTTATGTGTTTGGGGAGTGAGATTGTCTACCCATGCAAGGTCCCGCTGTTTAGAATATGTTTGTTTAAATTAACTTTGAAATCAGCTTCTTAACTAGTAGTTTTCCATGAGACTTTTTATTATTTTTTTCACATTTTACCATCACCCAAGAACCAGAGCCCTCAACCAGAGAGAGGCAGAACAGCACATGGAACCAGGCTATAAAACCCCAATAAAAAAGGTAAAGCCAAGCAGGGCTGACATTCTCATGAGCCAACTCAGTAGGAAAGAGGAGTACTTAGCATTAATATGAAGTTGCAGATCCACAGCAACAGCAACATAGATATCTTTATTTATTTATTTTTATATTTTATTTTCCAGTTTAAATTTAGATAAGAAACAAGGTTGCTTCACAAGTCAGTTCCAGGTCCCTCTCCCTTTCCCTCCCCTACTCCCGTTCCCTCCCCCCAGCCCCCCCATTATCCCCTCATTTCCCCAGGGAGGGTGAGGCCCTCCATGGGGGTGTCCACAGTCTGTCATTTCATATAGGGCAGGGCCTAGACCCTTCCCCAAGAGATCAGGGTGAGAGTGTACCTCACATTGTTCTATGAGACTTTTTTATATATACATAGTTTTGGGTAGCCAACTACAACCCTCTTCTCTACCACACCCTCTTGCAACCATCCCCACTTAATCCTTTAATTGCTGGCATTGAGCCATCTTCTTTCATATTGTCTGTATTCTATGATAATTCCAAAAATATTGAATTGGGTTGAAAGATAATAGGCTTCCATGTGGGTTTTCATACACACTATCTTTAGGTTAGTCCTCCTCCAATCCCTGGACTTCCCCAACTACTACATTTCTGCCTGAATAAATTTTTTAATGCTTTCCAAGAATTCCCTCCTCTGTTTTCATCTCACCCATATTCTACTATTTGCACTCATATGTTGTCTCTCAATAGCCCATGTCTCCTTCTTTTAGCTTCCACTTGTGCTCCAAGTTAAACACACAAAAACAAAAGACTTGAAAGTAGGACAAATATTAGGTAGAATATGTTATATTTGATTTTCTGGACATGAGTTAGGTTAGTCAGGATCTTACAGATTCTAATTAGTGATTCCTTTATTTGCATGTGTTTAGCGCTAATCATTTATTAGTATGTGATCATTCTGAAACAAGCAACAAACAAACAAATAAACTGACTAACAAACATGCCCAAAATCAAACTAAACCAAACAAAAAACTGGTTCTCCCTCTCTCAGGAATCACTGACTGAATGCCAGCAGCTCTTCTCTCCTCTTTCACATGGAATGATCTCATGAAATCATCCTCTATCACACTAGCATGGTATGGTCTTTGAAGGTTCTTTCGGACAGCCATGTTGTTGAGATTCATGGGAAAAACATTCCATTCTCGTCTCCAAGGAATTATCATGCAACAGTTGTCTTGGTTCACAAGCTCTCTCAACTCTCTGTGCCCTCTTCTGTTATGTTCTCTGAACCTCAGGATTGGGTTATAAATGCTCAATTTGGGGCTGGGTACCCCACAGATATTTACTTCTTTTTGCATTTTGACTGGTTGTAGGTGTTTCCAATAGTCCTCCTCTGCTTAAGAAAGGTTTTCTTTTGAAGAGATGTGATAGCTTCACTTATTTATGTATATATATTTAAAAGGCAATTGTGCAACTTAAGCAATATGACTGTAGTAGATTTTCCTCTAGTGACTATGATCCCTCCAACCATGGGTTATTGGCCAGGTATATAGTACCAGACATAAGTTACCTCCAATTGAGCAACTTTAAGTCCAATTAGACATCTGTTCAGTGTCTTAGAGACAAAAGTTTCAGTATTACTCCACTGGGAGATACCTTGGCTGTCATGTAATTTTTGTGGTTCTCAGGCTTTAAACCTGGGTGAAGCTTTGAAAACTTTTCTGCCTTAGCAAATTACCAAGGCAGTGCTTGTGACACTGAGAACTTGACGCTGAGAACTTGTCCCCTTAGAGGAGGATTCTAAGTCAGTATCAGGTTGATTTCTCAATGCTCTCAGACAGAAGTGTGTTGTGTCTTTAACAATAGGGTCCTACTTTCTGCGTTATTTATTTTTTCTACTGTGCTGATAAAATACAATGACCAAGGCAACTCAAAGAAGGAAGAGTTATTTGGGCTTATTGTTTCACATTGTTGGAGTTTATAATGGTGGGAACAGGAAACTGGAGCTTCACATCTTAAACTATTAGAATAAAACAGAGAGAGTGAATTAGAAATAGTGCAAATAGAGACAGATACCCACAGCTAAACACTGAACTGAACTCCTGGAACCCAGTGACAGAGATTGAGGAGTGATGAGCAAAGGGGTCAAGACCATGATGGTGAAACCCACAAAGACAGCTGACCAGATAAGGGGGGAGCTCTTGAATCCCAGACTGATAGCTGAGAGGCCAACAGGGGACTGATCCAGACTCCATGAATGTAGTGTCAGTGAGGAGGCCACAGAAATCACTGGGGCCTTGAGTAGTAGATCAGTGTTTACCATGGTGTATGAATGATCTTTGGGAGCCCACTCCACATGAAGGGATGCTCTCTCAGCCTGGACACACGGGGAAGGGCCTAGGTCCTGCCCTAGATGAAATGACAGACTTTGGAGATCCCCCCAAGGAGGGCCTCACCCTCCCTGGGGAATGATGTGGGGATGGGGTGGGGGTTGGGGGGGCTGGTGGAGTGACAGGGGAGGATGAGTGGGAAAGGGAGCTCGTATTGACATGTGAAGCATTCATGTTTCTAATTTAAATAAAAACATATTTTGAGAAAAAAGAAATAGTGCAAGAGTTTTAACTCTCAAATATTTCCTCCAGTAACATATTTCCTCCAACAAGACCACACTTCCTAAAGTTCCTCAAACAGTGCCACTAATGTGGATAAAACGTTCAAATGGCCAAGGCTATGGGAGGCATTTCTCATTTAAACTATCACACTTTTCTGTTCCAGCAGGCAGCCAAGAGCAATAGCAATAAAAAATTGTCTTGAGAGTCTCTTAGATGCTGGATTGGGGCACGTTTTCACAGTGTGGGATAACTGCATTAAAACAATATATTTGTGTGTGTGTGTGTGTGTGTGTGTGTGTGTGTGCATTAAGTGTGTGTATTTAAGTAAACTTGAAAAATAGGTTTCCTCATTGTTTTTCTAAGCATCTTTATTGATGGTTAACACTCCTCTTTAACTCTGTAACTGTGTTTCCCTCCTTCACAAGTTACATTTTCACTCCATTTTTTCTGTCTTTTCAATTCATAGCACCCATGTCTTCCTGCTCCCTCTGTAGAACTCCTGTTCATTCCACTCTCC